GGATCCAACCAAATCCACTGAAAATCAGCACCGGCCTATTGCGATGTGAAGATGGGCAGTGTTTCGATGCATTTTGCAAGGGTTCGTTGTGAACACCGTGCTCCAAAAAGAAGAGCAAACGACGCAGGGTTTGTCGATTGGGAGCGCTGCAATGTCTGGTGAGCGCCCGTCACTAACGCGTTGGGTCAGCAACTAATTAACCCACCTCACCTCAGGGGCAGACTTCATCTTGTCCTGTCTTGGCGATATTTTTTCCATGTGGTGGTTAGTGCTAATACACCACTACGGAAGTAGGATAAGCAAGTTCCACAGATATTTTTCCTCCAAGTGATTAGTGACAGTACATGATAAGCAAGTTCCAAGGATATTTTGGCTTCCTCATGTTTCGTTTGGGAACCTCCTCTGGAGAACGTTCCAGAGATATTAGGATCCTTTCTTTCTTTATTAATGGAGTACTATACACAAGATATTTGTTGACCTAATAATAGAGTAATAGAAAAGGTTAATAAAAATCAATAAATGAGTATATCTTTTGTTAAAATTTCTGACAAAAGTAGGCGGGATAGAATCGGAAAGGATCCAACACCGACACTTACAAACACTAGCTTTCTTTCTATTTGAGCCATGCATGAACCGTGCAAGATACTGCACCAAAAAACGGAGCAGAGTCATCCACCTACGCAAAGCTTGCACCCACCCCATTTGTAGAACAACACTTGCAATGATTTGCACCCACCAACACCAAACCAAACCATACCAAACCCCACACAAATACGCCCAATAAAATCATTTCACGCCACACCCAGTAAATTGCATGATTGCCTCCGTTGCTCTTCAATTATCACCATTTTTTTGCGAGAATCTTCAATTATCACCATGACATTTTTGGAGATTACACTTCACCTTTTGACGATACTTTTTCCCTGCAATTTTCTATTGACAATCTTTTTGTTTTTGACAATCCTTTTTTTTGCATTTTGTCAACGCTTACGGACAAACGCTTTTCCTTATTTCAGCTGATATAAATTAGAAAAGGGCTGTGCATCTGTTTATATTTTATCACAAAAAAGGAGTAGATTTAAAAAGGAAAAGAATAAATGAACGTGTCCATAATAGCTACTTGATACCATATATAACCTCTGCAATTTTTTGGTCACTCCTACTTAATATAGTTAGCAACTTGGCATATAATCTCAGTGGTGGATTATGCTGCCAGAGTATATCACCGAAAGATTATAGGGGAGACTTCCAAGAGAAGGCAATCAGAATAAGAGAAGACTTCGTTTTCTGATAGATTTACTTCATGGAAAAGGAATCGCATAGAACTTTTTATAAAGAAATCACTAAAAAAAATGGGCAGAAAGACTTTTTTTTTGAAACAAGGCAAAAGACTTGCCATTTTCATTGATTAAGAAGGAGTGAGAATTGCCTGGTTAATTGACGGAAAACCGGGCTAAAATCGATACAACCAACCCACATAAAATGGGTACCACCGGCCAACCTGGTCACCGACATGGGATCACAGAGCTACAAAGAGGGAAAGACATCCGTCGAGCAGTCGCAAGCGTCATCGTCATCACCGGCTACCTCCGAACGGGCGACTCCGACTTCACCGTAGACCTTCATCGTCGAAGCCGACCCGCAAACAGCTGCACAGAAACCATGACAACACATGCCAACAGCAGGCCACACGCGCGAACAACCGACAGCTCCGACTCTGACGACGATCATCACAAGGGAAATATGCAGGACTTGCGCCGACCGTGCCCTAAAGAGCACCTCGGACACGCCGGGAAGATCCGACTACCGAAGCCCGAGCCGCGACCAAAGCTCCTCTCGACGCCATCATCGTTGCCAAACAGAAATCAGCGCCCCCGAAAAGGCTGCCTCAGCAAACTACGCGGCGAAGATGCCGCAAACCCCGCGGCGAAGATGCCGCCATCCACCGGTCTCCCAGTCGTAGCCTGCTCCGAGACGATGCCCCCAAGGAGGAGAAAGACGCGAAGACGCCTCCATCGCTCGATCCAGCGGATCTGAGGTTTCCCTCCGGAGCCAAAGCCGTGGGGAGAAGCAGGAGCACCTCCACGATGACGCTTCCAAGAAAGATCACGGTACCCTTGGGCACCGCCGTCACCGGCTCCGACGGAGACCGGAGCAAGGATTTCTCTTGGAGTTGCGCCGTCCACCATCCGCCACCGACCACCGCCTACTAACCACCACCCCTGCTGAGAGCAACCTCACTCCGGCCGCGGGATCCCTCGATCCACCGCAACTAGACACGCACCACCTCCCGGGCCGTAGCCGCCGCCACCACCACATCCGGGGCCGCCGCCCCGGCAACCGAAGACCTCCACCGCGCGGCCGCCGCACGCTGCACAGCCAGAGAGGAAACCCGAGCAGGGAGGGGGGCCGCCACCCCACCCCAACTCGCCAGACGAGCAGCCAGATCCGCCGCCTCGTCAGCCGAAACACCAGCCGGCACCACCACGACACCAAGCAGGAGAACGCAGCAAGGGCCCCTCCACGACGAGCAGCAGGGGGCCGAGCCTCCCTCGAACCCAGCACCACCGTCCGCGCCGGCCGCAGCTCGCGAGGATCCAGATCGGGCCCGCACGGGCGCCACGACCGCGACCGCCGCTCGCAACGGCGCGCCCAGCTTCGCGACCAGATCCCGAGCCTCGCGCCAGAGACCTCCTCCACCGCGAGCCAGGACGCCGCCCCAGAAAGACTGAATAATATAAGCGATTTCTCAACTAGTTACAAATACACACCTTTTATGTCAACATGAATGATGATACTATTTTCTTTTTTATTAGTAATGGAATGAACCTTGATGGTTGCTTCACAGACGATAGATTCCACACGATCGGCGGACGACAGTGCGAAGCACGTCCAAATCTCCTGCTTACACGCTCACTGTGAAGCTGCCATGTAGGATCGTTCACGTGTCAGGCGCTAGTATATCGTGTGTATAGCAGCGCTCAAAAGTTAGTAGTTAGATGCTTCAGAAGTCAACATCGCAATAGGTACCGGCTACTCATAAAGCCGATGGATAAAACCGAGTTTAAAAAAAAATCAATACCTATGAGTTCATAAATGAGAAAAAAATCGTATCCATTGGGTAACCTGGGACGGGATGCGGGAAGGCAATACCCATACCTTGTTCCTGCATAACCGTAACCGGTAGGTATCATGTGCCATTCACTAAGAAGGAATAATCCCTAGCCGCTTACCCTAGTCTAATCCAGCTGCGAACCTCAACCCAAAATTCCCTCCCCTTACCCATCGCGCGCTGTCACACCACACAAACCCCACCTCCCCCATCTCGCTCTCACTGGAACCCTAGGTGGGCGTCATAGGCTACCCCCTCCAGGCCGTCGCAGTTGCATGCCTGCGTGCAGGCTACAATGACGCAATGGGTTGTCTTCCTCATCTCCTCGTCTCCTTATTCCACATGTTTTCCTCCGCGCAACCATGACATCTCCTCTTGCAACTCTCTACTCATCGCCCCCTCCACGCGCCTACCGCCAGATGGTTGGGATACCTTCTTCCCGCTGTGCCACACTCCATGCCTCTAGTCGACAAGCACATGGAGAACGACTAAGAGGACGTTGAGGAGGCTTCCTCCAGTACGGATGACCTCCTCCTTGTAACTCTGGTAGATGGGGAGGAATTTCAAGAAGATGTCGCATATGGGAGTGCTTCTACGGCGCCGAAGCCTTCGCCTATCCCCATGCCCTACGCCTCCAGCCACCTTCAAGGGGGCAGATTCCCGGGGTGCCCGCGGGTGAATTAGTCGAGGTGGGCGAGATGCGTATTTATAACCGCGGGTATTACCCGCACCCAACCGGTAATGGGTATAGGAATAATATGAAACCAAGGGCGCGGGTAAGGGTACGGATATGAGCGAAAAATATTGAAACGGGTGTGGGTTTGGAATGCATTACCTGCATCCGAACCCGGTGGGTGCCATGTTGATTTGGAAGATGGTGTTAGGGCACCAAATCTTTCCTCAAATATACGCAGACACTTTTATAACTCCAACACTAGTGTTTGTATGTGTGTATTTGAGCATATGCAATTGTACTATGTTCAATAAATGTTCATGGACAGGTCCGAACATTCAAAAATCCGCGTCTACAAATTGGAGGACTCTGGGAGAGAGCCCGGACAGTCCTTTTGGTCCACTGTCAGCTAGACCATATCTCTCATAGTCGATATCCTTTTCTCCTATTGGCCTGCCTGGCCATCTGGCAGTCATAGCCCATGGTGCAAATTTGAGGAACACAATTGGATAATTGGGCTACCTGCAAACTATGTCTATAGACATTTGATCATATCGTTTGGTGATCTGCGTTGGCGATGCCTTTATTAGCTTTGCAACTCTTGTCATCAACACTCGTTTTGTTTTAATGAAAACATATGTAAATGTTCTTCTTAACTTAGTACAATCATAGATGCCCACATACATGCACATATACTCATTCTCTTCGGACCCTGAACGTACTACACAACATCTTGAGATTGACGAAGTCACCTCACGCACCTCGCGGCCGACGGGATTGTCTTCTCCCACTGAACGGACATTGGCAGAAAGCCTGAAATAAATGCAGTAAATGCGAGCACCATTGCCGGTGCTAAGACTTAAATCCTGGTGGACTGATTTAATCACAAGAAGATTAAAATTTGTTTGCTGGTCACATGACGGGTCGATCCCAACGACCGGCTTGAGTGAAATCACGGGATATTTCCCTCTCTTTTCCTTTCAAACAAAAAGAAAAATGAAAATTAGAGAGGCGAGAGAAGCGCCCGATAATAAAAGGGCGTAAAGAGTCCGCGCCTCTCTTTCCCCATTCCCACTCCGCAGTGTCCCCGGCGCCCCGCCCACCCACCCACTTCGCCGGCGGCGGGAGGAGCTTTGGCCGGAGCCTCCCCCGCCGCCGCCGCCTCCACCACCCTCACCGCCGCATCGCCGCAGGAGGAGGAGGAGGGCGGAGGCCATGGGGCACGGGGTGAGCTGCGCGCGCACCGGCGACGAGCACGACTTCTTCCGCGCGGCGCAGCTCGGGGACCTCGACGCCCTGGGCGCGCTCCTCGCCGCCGACGCCTCCCTCGCCCGCCGCGCCACCCTCTACGACCGCCTCTCCCCGCTCCACATCGCCGCCGCCAATGGCCGCCTCGAGGTCCGTCCGTCAAGCGTCCGACGGCAGCTCCCCCCCACCAGCCGCAGCCATGGATCATTGGATCCCCTTGAATTTCTACTGTTCTCTGAGCTTTCTTCCTCCTCGCAGGCGCTCTCCATGTTCCTGGATCGCGGGGCGCAGCCGGACGCCGTGGATCGGCACAAGCAGGTGCGAGATCCCACTTCAAAATCTCCCCTCTTTTTATTTTTCCTTCTCCCCCAACAAGCTCCTTCAAAATCTCACCTGTTTCTCTCTCTGTGTTGTCTTCTCCTCCAGACTCCCCTGATGCTCGCCGCCATGCACGGCAAGATCGGCTGCGTGCTCAAGCTCCTCCAGGCCGGCGCAAACGTGAGCGAAACAAGAGATCTGCAGCCTCATTACCCCGCAGAATCCACTCACTAAATGAGCTTAATTATTTCTGTGCGCGTTTGTTACCAGATCTTGATGTTCGACTCGGTGCACGCGCGGACCTGCCTCCACCACGCGGCCTACTACGGCCACGTCGACTGCCTGGACGCCATCCTCTCCACGGCGCGGACCACGCCGGTGGCCGGCTCATGGTGAGACCCCGCTCCAGTCCTTGGCTCCATAGATCTCGCCGGATCGCTTGTTACTGTAGTTGGCAAGACTGCTCACCTGCCGCTGTCGAAGCTTCGCAGGGGGTTCGCCCGGTTCGTCAATGTCAGGGACGACCACGGCGCCACGCCGCTGCACCTCGCGGCCAGGCAGGGCCGGCCGGGCTGCGTGCAGGTGCTGCTGGAGAACGGCGCCATCGTGTCGGCATTGACCGGATCATACGGGTAATGTTGCCCTGTCATTTTGGTTTCAGCTGAATTTGGTTATGCAAAATGCTGATCTTGATGTGTTCTTGTTGCAGCTTCCCTGGTAGCACGTCGCTGCATTTGGCCGCTCGCAGCGGGGACTTGGATTGCATCCGGAAGCTGCTTGCCTGGGGAGCTGATCGGCTCCAAAGGGACTCTGCTGGGTGAGAACTAGATCCCTGCCATGGGTCTGCCTTGCACATTGTTGGTGTATGTGTATAGCAGCACAGTTTTAGGTGCTCTTTTGGTAATCAGCAAGTAGAACTCAACTAGCCAATTAACAAGTGAACTCACTGTGCATTTGCTGAATCCACATTTGGAAAGTTCACTATGCCACTATCAACAAATTTTTATGTGCTCTCTTAATGACTTGCTCATAGTCGTCCCGCTGAAATCTTATGACAAATGTTGTTGTCCCACCAGGAGAATCCCCTATGTGGTGGCACATAAGCGCAACCACGGGGCATGCGCGGCATTGCTGAACCCTTCGTCGGCAGAGCCTATGGTGTGGCCTTCCCCGCTCAAGTTCATCAGCGAGCTCGACCCGGAAGCCAAGGCTCTGCTGGAAGCCGCCCTGATGGAAGCCAACAGGGAGAGGGAGAAGAAGATCTTGAAGGACGCAAAGTGCTCGCCGCAGTCCCCTTTGGAGTACGATGATGATCACATCGACGACGACATGTTCTCGGAGGTATCATCCGGTTCTTGATTTCCCATAGCACATTAGATGATCTGTTTTCACTTCATTGGCTAGTGAGTGAGGCTGATGATGCATCTTCATTTGTGCTGCGCAGGTGAGCGACACGGAGCTGTGCTGCATCTGCTTCGACCAGGCGTGCACCATCGAGGTGCAGGACTGCGGGCACCAGATGTGCGCGCCGTGCACGCTGGCGCTGTGCTGCCACAACAAGCCCAACCCGGCGACCCTGACAATGCCCTCGCCGGCCTGCCCGTTCTGCCGCGGCAGCATCTCGCGGCTGGTGGTGGCGGAGACCCGGACAGCAGACGGCGGCGACCCCGACAGGCCAGCCTCCCCGCAGCTCGCGCACCGGCGGTCCCGGCGCTCTCACAACCTCAGTGAGGGCAGCAGCAGCTTCAAGGGGCTGTCCTCGGCCATCTCCAAGATCGCCCGCGGCTCGAGCCGGATGGCCGAGAGCGACAGCGCTGCCATGGACAAGCCCGAGCACGATCCGTGACCGAGGCAGAACACACAGATTTCGGACCTCCACAGCCTCTGAAAACCCCAGATGATGAGAAGAGAAGAGAAAAAGGAAAAATTCCATGGAAGCTCTAGGTAGGAACCAAATAAGCACCCTCCATTTCCACCCATCCTTTTGTTTGTGTGCCCTGTATTTTTGGAGTCGCCGGCCGGCCAATCTTTCGGAAATGCATATAGGCTGAGCTCTGTGATGAGATGAGATGAGGGGAGCTGTTTATCATCATGGAGCCTGGTGTTGGCGAATGATGCCGGGATCTGATCTGACTGCTGCTGCTGCTTCACGGTTCAATGATCTCTGAATCTGGCCTGCCGCGGCCATGCCATGGCATGTGGGCGCTGTCCCCCCGCTGTCCTGTGCGTGCGTTGGATCACGGCCATTTTTGGACCTTAATGCCTCTTGTTTAATGGCAGCGCGGCGGCAGGGTGGCCCGGTCCTGTCCTTGGATGGATCGCCATGACTGACTTTGGCTGCTGCTGCTGCTGCTGCGGTGCTGCCTAGATGAGTTGATGGCATTGTAGACTGCCACTTTGATCCGTGACTGCTTGCTGTAATGTTTCCTTTGTCCGTGTTGCAACTGTATCTTCAAATGTCGCTCAATTTTACTACTCCCTCCGTTCCATTTCATAATATAAGAGTGTATCTTACACTAGCGTCAGTGTCAAGAACGCTCTTATATTATGAGACGATGCACGAGGAAAGTAAAAATATCCTTGGAACTTGCTTGTTATCCTGACGTAATTTTATCCCGTCTGTCTCTGGAACTTGCTTTGGTTGTGGTGTATTAGCACTAACCACCACATGGGAAAAATATCGCCAGGACAAGACATGAAGCCTGCCCCTGAGGTGATGAGGTGGGTTAATTAGCTGCTGACCCAACGCGGTAGTGACGGTCGCTCACCGGACATTGCAGCGCTCCCGATAGACAAACCCTTCGTCGTTTGCTCTTCTTTTTGGAGCATGGTGTTCGCAACGAACCTTTGCAAAATGTATCGAAACACTCCCCGTTTACGTCATACAGGAGAATGGAAACGTATGGCGCCGGCGGTATGGGTAGCTGGCCGTGATGGAGACGTCCGAGATTGGCGCGCATAGTATGGTTGGACCAATAAGTCTAACTCGAACGCACGACTTCAAATGGTCCGTCCGCGTCCGTTTGAGGGTAAACAGACAAAGGAGGCCTTTCAACGTGCAGCCGCAAACGGACGACGGTCCGTTTTCGACCATTTTTCTAGCCCAAATTTGAGCCGAGTGTGCGGCCGAACAGGCCGGGCATGCGCCCTTGTTCTCCCCTAGCCCGCCCGTCGGTGGCACAGTGCAGCCACTTTCCTTCCCTTTCCTTCAAAACCCTCCCCCCCCTTTCTCCATCCACCATGACCGACGATGCCAATCCCCGCGACCCACCACCGGCCGTCCGCCCCTTAGCGAAGAAAAAGAAGCCGCCGAAGAAGACTCAGTCGGAGCTGACGCCAAATCAGCCAAGAGGAAGAACCAGCGAACTGTCGCCGCCGTAGATCACTCGTCATCGAACTTGAGCATGTCGGCCTGCATCTTCTCGAGCCACGGCCTCTTCCTTGGCGACACGGTGTTGAGATCCACCTGCATGATCTCCACCCAGGCCATCATGCTCGCGAGAGCCACTTCTTTCGCCTTGGTCTTGGCATTGGCGGCCTTGATCTCTAGCATCTTCGCTTACTTCTCCGCCTCCATCTCAAGCATCTTGGCTTGCTTCTCCGCGTCCATCTCAAGCCTCCTCCTTTGGATCTCCAAGAAGGCGTTCATTTGCTCTTCCTTGTCTTGCCGGCGCTTCTCCTCTATTGAGTCCTTCTTGGTCATCATGCCCTCCACGGTTGCGATCAAGGCGATCGACGCCGCATCCCGCTTGTCGTCCTTGGAGTTAGTCTTCCCCCGCGGCCGAGCCTTCTAGCCGTCCCCAACCTCCTCCACGGCTTGCTTCCCCCCACGCGACTTGAGGAGGGCATATTACGCCTTGAACTTCTCCTCGTCTTTGATGAACTTAAAGCAATGGGAGAGGTTGAAGCACTTGCCATTGTGTTGGACCTTAAATACCTCCAAAGCTTGAAATGCCTACAAATATATTTCATCCAAGCATATTGGTAAATGGTATGCAAACGAACACACAAGCATAAACTTGATGACACAAAAGAGGGTGGCTTGCTAGCATACCATGTCTTGCATGCCAATGCCGCTCACGGGGCGGGCCTTGACGCTCTCAAGAGTGGCACACAACTTGTTCCGCTCTTATTGGATCACCCTCCATCGCTTCGAAATGGACACCCACCCGCGCGTGCTTACTATTTGGTACGGCGGAAACTTCTTGCGCTCATGGAACTCACGGTGGACACGAATCAAAAAAGTTGAATGCTTTTGTTCAGCGCCCGTCTTGGGGTCTTGCCCAATGTCTCTCCAACACTCGCAAAAAAGCTTGTCCTCGGCCGCCGTGTATGCCTTGGTCCGCTTGCTCTTGCGCTTCAGCTTCACCCCGACGGATTGGTTGGCGAGCTCGTCCTCGAACAAAGGCTGCCCTTCGATGTCACACTCATCCTCTTCCTCTTGCCCGTAGTCCTCCGAAAACTCGTGGTCGAGAGGGAAGCCGTCCAGGTCCAGGCCGACCTGATCACGCATGAAGGCCGCCTGATCTTCATTGTAGCTAGCGTACGGCGTGAACGCCCCTCGGCCGTCCTGGCTTTGTGCCTCGTCGAGATCGTAGCCAGCGACTTGCGCACCACCCTCGAAGATCATGTTCTGCATGTAGTCCTCGTCGCCAGCGGCCGGCATTCCATCGAACAGGTTGCGTGCGCCGGAAGTACGTCGGCTGGCATCTGCTGCACGTGTTTCCTCGCGCCTATGACGAGCCACCAGCCACCAGTATGGCGTTGAGGTCGATGGGCGCGGGCGCGGGCGTGGAAGGCGCGACCACGCTATCCCCGGAGAGGCGGGAGGCCTGCGGGTAAACATGGAAGCCGGGCATCGGGGTGCAAGCCGACGCGCGAGGCGAGTCGGGCAGCACCATCCGAGGGAATGCGGATGAGCCGGTGCTGGCCGCGGCCACGACGGCGTTGACGAGGCCGTGCTGGATAGGGTTTAACCTAGCATATAGAGCGCTTCCCTTGTTGCTGCAGCGACGCGGGCGTTGGTGACCTCCTGCTGCGCGGCGGCGGCGACGGCGGCCACCACGATAGCTTCATCCCTCGCGTCCGCTGCGTGCCTCCGATCCTTCCTCCTGGCCGACTCCCTTGCCCGCTGTTCGGGCGTCAGCGCCTTCTTCGGCTTGGGCGCAGCGGTCTTGCGTGGGGCGCAAGGCTTGCCTTTGCCGGAGGGGGCGGTCGGCATGGCAGACGTGGCGAGGAAGGCGAGGCCGGCGGCGGCGTCGAGGTCGTCGTCCATGCGGGGGTGGGGCGGGAAGGTTTATTTTGGGGGACGGAGGAAAATGGTGAAGGCTGCCACCAACCAGTAGGCCCGAGGGAAGGAGAAGGCGCGCGCGCGTCCGCCTTGCGTCCGCGCTGATGCAAATCCGGCTCAAAAATGGGCCGGAAATGAGTCGGCAGGCGGAAATCAAGTGAACGCGCGTCCGTTTGGGTCGGTGCGTTGGGCCGATTTTTGTGTCGAACAAAATGGATCACCCAGTTGAAGTTGTTCTTGATGCCTGTTGTTTAATTGGAGCGCCGTGGCAGGGTGGTCCGGTTCTTGGATCGCCATGACTCTGGCTTGTGCTGCGGTGCCACTTGATCTGTCACTATCTGGGCTACTGCATGTTGTAATGTTTCCTGTGTACGTGTTGCAAATCACCATCTACTCTCTCGGTCTATCCATCCTGCATTTTTTGTCCTTATTTATTTCCGTGCCAAATTTTGACCATAAGTTTACCTAACAAAATGTGCATGGAATTCAACGATAAGTTTTTTGTTTGCATGCACTAACATTTCGTCAGTCGAATCTTTGATCAAAATTTAGTATAAATTACAAAGGGGACCAACAAATAAATCAGGATGGAGGTAGTAAATCATCAGTGGAAGATGCAATTTTACAAGTATTCAAGTGGCAAAAATGGATGAACAGCACCTGCTGCACGAAAGAGAGCAAGGCGTTGGTGTGGGTATGGGACTGTGGACGGGAGTGAAATTTCAGAGGAGACAAGCTTTCGTTTGACGGGGACATCACACGGCACCAGCTGGAAACGTGTCCACGTCAGGCGATATGACTTCCTAGTGCTTTATTATCCTGTAATTTTATACTACTCCTAGTGACAAGCCTGTTCTATCACTAACCACTTCAAGAAAAACATCTCACTTTCGTACTCCCTTCATCTTAAAATATACCGTGCTTCTCTAGGTTCAACTTTGACCATTCATTTAACGAACGAGAACCTAGACCATACATTTAACCAACGAGACCGACTGCGACGGAATAAAAAATTATATAATTGAAAACTTTTTTGAATACGGATTCATTGGTATAAACTTTTGATCTCACCGCAGTATAATTTTTGATTCCTCGCAGTCGGTCTCGTTGGTTAAATTTATGGTCAAAAATAAAATGTGGAAATCGAGGATACACTATATTGGAAGGAGGGAGTAATGATGTATTAGTACTAACCACCACGTGGAAAAAGATATCTGGGGTGGCGTCACGTCTCATGCCAGGACAAAAGATGAAGTCTGCCTGAGGTGGGTTAATTAGTCGCTAACCCAACGCGGTAGTGACGGTCGCTCACCAGACAGTGCAACGCTCTCGATCGACAAACTCTGCGTCGTTTCTCATCTATAATACTAGATCATCGTTAGCGCGCGGTGCTGGTCCCTTCCATTTTGACAATAGAATGACATGAATATATGTAAATATGTCGGCACACAAAACATATAAATTAGATCTATATAAACTTACTCACATATTGCAGATAATTTTTATTAGTTCAATAAAAACATAAAGGGATCCACTTACACAAAATGATTAGTTTT